ATGGGATTATATAGGAATTAGATCAGGACGGTATAGGGATTATATAAAGATTATATGGGATTATATAAGGATTAGATAAGGATGATGTAGGGGTTATTTCTATATGTATGTATATGTATACACATAGGGATTATCTAAGAACTATATAGATTCCAAGTGCGAAGGACCTTGTGCCTTCACATTTCGTTTTGCCCACATCAGGAATTTTTCTGCTCCCAAAGGACATCTGCTGCCCTTCCTGATGCTGAGTTCTTCCCGTTTAGGGTTTAGAGTTTGGCATTGATGCGCTGAGTGTGTATCAGAGCAAGGGGTGGGCCTGTATAGAGTTGTCTTTAAGTGGAGCTTGAGACTTGAGGCCTGGTCCTTTGCATGTATTGGCCCCAAAGAGCAACGTTTTCAACCTGACTTTCTGACGTCCGAAGGGTTTGATCCAGGGAGAGCGGCTAAGGCATGACCCTTGGGCATGTAAATCACAAAGCGGCTCAGCAGTTGCAATCTGGTGGAGGCTAAAGCCCAGCTTTGCAACAGGACGCAGTTTCTGACGTTACCTTTGTGTGTCGCTTGGGGCAAAAAGTGACCTTGAATTCGCCTATCTGGCCGCTATGGCATTGTTTGAAGCTCAGCTGTATGCTGCTATGAATACCGCCCTTGCAGCCATGTTGGAGGCTCCGCCCCAGCAGTTTAGGGTTTTGGATTTAGGGTTTAGGGTTAAAGAAAACCAAGAAATAGACCAGCCATTTAGAGAGAATCTTCAACGGACCATTCAAGGGACACCACAATTAGGTGGCTGATTCAAGGTAGAATTCTGATCGATGCCTCCCCGAAAGGACACCAATGTGTATCCGCATGTACGAGTTTCCATAAACGACCCCTGGGGACCCCCTCCACACACTGGATGTCGTCAATCACCGATTGACCAATTGGTGGCGTGGACTTTAAAGATCTGATACACACACACACAATATCCCCTTGTAATCCCCAAGTATCCGCGTATCCGCAACTTCCTCAAAGCGCCCCCTTTTTTTTGAGAAACCCTCATATCCTCACAAGGGATCGCAAGGGATTGGAAGGAGAATATCGCGGTGCCCCTTGTGCACGGGTTATTCCCCGGCAGCCCTGCAATCTCAACCTATACCCTCCTCCCTAAACGCTCAACTCCATACCCTTAGCCCTAAACTCTGACCCTACACCCCAACCCCAAAACACCTAGACCCTGAACCCTAATTCCCTAACACCTAAACCTCTAAGCCCCACACCCTAAATCCCTAATCCCTAAACCCTAAATCCCTAAATCCCTAAACCCTAAACCCGAAATCCCTAATCCCTAAACCCTTCTCCCTAAAAGAGCCTCCACTGCGGGGGGCGGCGCGGGAGGCGCTGCTTTGGCTGTCGAGCCGGCGACACCTCCGCAGCATGAGGGTTTAGGGTTGAGGGTTTTAGGGTTTAGGGTTTAGGGTTTAGGGGTTTAGGCGTTTAGGGTTTAGGGGTTGAGGGTTTAGGGGTTTAGGGTTTACCTTGACCCTCCAATGTAGTTCCTTTTTGGGTTTGGTCTGGTTTTTTGGTTAGGACTCTCATTAGGACTACCAAAAGGGTACTACATTGGAGGGTCTAGGTAGGGTATAGGGCTCCCAAACTCAACATAGGCTTATGATAGGGGTAATTCCCAAAATTAGGGTCCCATTTCGATACCCCTAAATATTTGGTGCCGTGATATAATCTATACCAGAAAGGGGCCCATAATTTTGAGAACAACTCATAGGGTGTGTGTTTTATGGGACCTTTCCTCCAGCGCCAAAAGGTCTGTGTTGGAGGGTTCAGGGTTTAAGGATTAGGATTTAGGGGTTGGGGTCTCAGGATTAAGGTTTAGGGCTTTGGGTTGGGGTTTTAAGGTTGAAGCACTAAAGGATCCCAACTTAGGGATCTAAAAAGATGTGTAAGGTTGAGAGCTTGTGGGATTCACTTGCGCCTCAAGTAGCATGGAAGCATTAAATCAGCTGTATGAAGACAACTGTCCCTTTTCATCAGGGGACTTCATGTTCGCGTGGTCGCTTGCCGGGTGATAAGCCTGACCTTACTTCAGGTGGTCAATAACCTTCCCACGTACATGGTGTTCCTGACAGCCACGTGGGGACTACCACTCCCTTTACAATGACGCTTAGTACGCGTCCTGCTATGAGTACCACGTTTGGCTGAGGTCGCGAGCTGTCCCTCCGAAGACCAGCAAGTACACTGAGAAAACCTAAGGCGATTCAACCTCGCCTAAGGCAATGAAATTGGATGCGCCTTTTTCTTTGCGTCGTTTTCCACGGCCACGACCTGGAATCTGGGATAATTTTGGCTTGATGGCGAACTGTTGCAAGCTGCTTTGAAATGGCCGTCACGCCAGCGTGCGCATAGACATCAGACCTCTAACAGCCTACAAGAGATTGTCGGATGCAGGTGCAGAACGGAACGTGACAACTGACGCACACATGGCTGCCTGGCACTCTGATAAAAGACGGTTTATTGAGAGGTCCCGACCTCGCCCCCGCGACCGCATGGAGATATGGTCCTGCTCCGCATCTCTAGGCTGTCATTCTAACATAGAAGCTGCATATGCCAGCACTCCAAAATGTTGCAAGCCCCTCTGCGCGTTTGAAGTCCTCGCCCTCCATTGTTGCGTCAGCCTCCAGATATGCCAGCAAGGTGCGCAAGAGACACGGTGAGCATGTAATGCTCTTAGAGATCACACGCTGCGCCCTCTAGTTCAAAAAGCTCTGGCAAGACTCTGCTTCAGATCTTGAACTCGGGCATCAAGCTTAGACCATGATGATCCACATGCTCCCTACTGTTATTGCTGCTGCATGAGGGTCAAAACGTGTTTGCATCCAAGCTGCCATGAGGTCTGGCCCCCCGAATTTGGCGCAAGCCAGCCAAAGCAATGGAGTCAAGCTACCCGCTATCAGTTGCTGGCTCTTAGTTGCTGGTTAACTAGTCGGCTTGGCAAGGCAGGTCACGGAGCCTTTGCCACATAGTCTTGTGGAATCTCGTGGAGAAGGCATTTTTGCTGACGTTCGCCAGGAGCAACCAGGGTGGCTGACCAGAAAAAACAGACTCCAAAGCTGTGCAAGTGGCTGGCTTAGTCATGGGAAAGTTATGGGCTGTAGGGCACGCAGACAGCATCTTGAACCACATGTGGGAGAACACACCTGCAGGAACCAGGAATCAGTCACTGAGTCATGCCAAGAAAATACCACTTGCTGGGCAACTGGACTTCACAGCGGCGAGCTTGCGATCATGTTCCCAACATGTTCCGACATCAGAGGCTGTAAGGGCACAGGCTCTAGGCATCTTTTTGCGCTGCAGCTCTTCGCAAGCGGCTCTGGGCAGGGAATGTCAGGCGCTCGCACCTTGCATGCATCCATCCAATAGAAGTTCTCAGAAGTCTAGACATGGCAAAGCTGTTCTCATTTCATCTAACAAGTCTGCCAAGTAATGATCTTTAAAGCACCCAGCCAATTCCCGCCAGGTACGCACAACATCCCGCAACCCCAAACTCACAATCTCATGCTTGCAGGTCCTTTGCCGTCCTTGAAATCACGTGCGACTGTTTCAAACTATGCACACGGTAGGGGCCTTTGCTCTTCAACATGGTAGTATCGCGCTATCTGCTATCATCAATTCCAGGCGCCCTGCCGGTCAGGCTTCCAATGGGCTGCCCTCCAGGCACCCTGGGAGTTGGAATGGGACTTCCAATTCGCACTCCAACCCCCGGACTGTGAAACCCAGCGCCCACTGCTGCTTTGTGGATTCTGGCCCCTGGCACCCTGATTGCTGTAGTGGGTCGGCGCCGGTGCTGGCTTGGTTCTTGGGCGCCCAAGCTCCTCCGCGAGCTCTTGCAGGCACGGCTCCATCCGCGCATCTATGGTGTCCGGTGGCTCATCGAGAGACTTCAACAGCAGCTCCCGGCTGAACTTGATCTTCCCGTTCCAGTAGACCTTCTTGGTCTCATCAATCGGGTCGATCTCCTCTTGCACTGCTGGCAGTGGGACCTTGGATGTGCTGGTACTGCTGGTACCTGGCGCTGCTCCTCGCAGCTGCCTACTGTCCGACACTGCCTGTGCTGTTGCTCTCGTTCCTCTTGCCAGCTTTTGGGCCTTTCCGCTGCTCAATCGAGCCTTGAGCTCCTGGACCTGCTGGCGCAATGCCGCCAACTTCTGATCCTGTGCCTCCCTGGCCTTCTGCAGCTCAGCAATTTGACTGCGCTGCTCATCCTGCTTCTGTGAGCAGGCTACAAGGACGTCTTTGAGCCCTTCAAAAGCTCCTGCGATGCGCGCAGGCGCAGCGCCAACATTATCCGTGCCCAGCATCGAGCTTTGCGATTCAGCTTTGAGCAAAGGGCTGCAGGCAGCGTTGCTGGGCCAAGGAGCCACATGACCTGAAAGCACCAAAGCCTGCAATAAACCCCACCTGACAGCACAGCAAGCCAGCAACAAGGGCTACACGCACAGCCACAATATCAACATGCATCAGCTTATGGAAAGTCAGACTGTCAGGAGGGGCGCCGCGACCCTGGCACTCTTGTAGCGGATGGGTACTTGATCTTAAGACCCTGGGTCTCAGGGCCCCGGCCGCAGGGCATCGAAAGGAATGGACTGCCTAAGGCGGTGTCAACAGACTGCCAGGACGCTGAAAGACAGCCAGGCTGAATGCATCAGGTCACAATCCCTTCAAGGCCCAAGAAACATTCCCAATCAGACCGTCAATGCAGCGACCTGGCACTAAGCGCGGTACGAACCAGCTCCCCCGGTGGATTTGCAGGAGAGGTTGGCGGCCTGCACAACCACGCTGGAGGCTGGTTGACGGAGGATTGCAGGCCAGCGTCTTTTGGGATAGAAATCAAACCTTGGTGAAATGATGTGAAATGCGCTGTCTGGCTTCGCATATGATTCAGATCATACTGACTTATGCCCTGTGCAGGGCAGAGCTTGGCAGGCATGCGCGGTCGACTCTCCTTTGGCCTGATCCTCGTGGAAATCGCAGCGCTGCAGAGCATCGGCCTGTGAATTTGCGGCAAGAACAACGGGCTCAGCTTCGGGAATGAGGTGTGCAGAGCTAGGTTCCAGAAGACAGCAGGTCAAGTTCAGACTGGCTTCTTGGGTGTCCTGAAGCGCACAAGTTGTGTGCCATATGGCGCGCGCATGAAATCATGGGCAGCGGCAATGGAGGATGGGCTATTAGACCTTTAAGGCCCCTTAATCCATCCTTATCTATTAGGGTCCTTATACGGAATTCTAGGTTCTAATAGCCCATACAGGTAAGGGGGTAGCATGGGGACTCATGAATCAACAAATGCTTTATAGCTTACCAAGCTTTGCCGGGTGTTGCTTTAACATCACGTGTAAGTTCGGGCAGGGGCGATTCAGAAAGCCTCGGTTGAGAAGCATCAGCGTTGGGGCCGCCCACTCTTGGGCCACTTGCCCACAACTCCTTCTGAGGCTACTGTAGGAGCTTTGAGGCTTGAAGCCCCAAGAACCGATCCGCGGCATTGGCAAGCAAGCTGCAGGCATTATAAGACTTTAGGGCAAGCATTCTGACTGAACTTGCGCTTCATGTGGCCTGAAGGCAAGTTATCCAGATCTAATTAGGCTTGCGTCGCAGTTCAGCAAGCTGTGCCAGCATGAGTGTCGCAGCAGTTCCTGGAGGTCTGGCAATTGGAGGGTTCCGTTCCAGGGCAAATCCTGGAAAGCGTGCGTGATCAGAATTGGCCTTCTTGGCCGTCTTGCAAACCTCTTAGCCGAGGAACTTTTGAAATCTTGCTAAACTGGACAGCTGCCCAAGCAGGTGCATTCAAATAGGAATGAACATGGAAATGACTGCAATTTGGAGTCAAATCGGAAAGCAAATCGAGAATGAACTGGAAACTAGGGTGATATAGGTGAATATACCCCCTATGTAACCAGGTAGTCCGCATACTACCCCCACATAATGTACAGGGGTCCCCATTAAGAGTAAGCCTTAGGAGGACCCCCCACCCTGTAATAGTGGTATAATAAAATGTAAGAGGACCCTAATAATCCCTATTATCCTAAACCCTAAACCCTAAACACTATTACTGGGTGGGGGGTACCCATTAAGGAGAAGCAAATGTTCATCCTGCCTCAAGGAGCTGCCAGAGACGGTCTTTGGCCTGGGACCTGGGCAGCTTCTGAATGAAGCAGTTTAGGTGGACCCCCCCACCCAGTAATAGTGACTATAAGGGATAATAGGGATTGTATTAGGGTCCTCTTATTATTATACCACTACTACAGGGTGGGGGGTCCTCCTAAGAAGCAGTAGACAAAATGAGAATGCTGAGAATAACAGCAAGAATATCAATAGTAGAACCATATTAAAAGCATCCCAATATCAATAATACAACTACTAGAACAGTCATAGTACTTATATAATGATGATAATACTTACAATCACAAGAAAAATCAAATAAAGCAGTATGAATGGCACAGAAGAGCTAGTCCTTGCAATTACCACCGTCTGATCTAATTGTAGTTTACCTATATAGGGCGACCTCAATGTAGACTCCCAAATGCAAAATCCTGAGCAAAAGGTACCCCTAATTTTGGGAAACCCCCAAATGCAGTACTGGGTGTCCCACACGTGGGCAAAAAAAGACTGGCCGCTACTGTCCAGCCTTGCGCAACGTGCCATCAAGTAGCATGACAGCTGATCGCTCATTCGGATGCGCCATACCTTTGGCACAAGGGGCATCTGCCTTGAAAATGTGCTGAGACAGTCCCTGTCTCAACATCATCACCGTGCGAGAACACGTAACAACGTACTACTGACCCAGCTCAGGCCGCAGCTGAACAAGTCCTGCGTAGTCACCGGTAGTTGTGACGAGTACACTGGGAACAGCCGAGCCCTCAGCAGTCTTTTCTTCAAACACAACAGGCTGTCTGTCTACACGCCCTTTGGCAAGCCCTGCCAGCAGATCAGCAGACCGGGTTCCTCACCATCATGCGGAAATCTACACCCAGCATCCGGAAGGCCAGTTGGTAGACATCCTCCAGGAATCTTGACTTTAGTCAGCAATGTGTATCCTACTTTCAGAACTGCACATCCAGGATGCCAGAATCCAACACAACAAAAGCCATGTCCCTTCAATCTTCCTGACATTGAAAGATGGAAGCAATTCAAGCATGCTGCGCAACATGGGGCTCCTTGTCACCATACCCGCACATCAGCTGCCCCTGCTCCGCATAGATTGCCTTCATCAGGAGTTCGGAGATGCAAAGCTTGCAGAAGGTGCTTGTTCCAGACCTCCACAAAGACGTCTGGCCGGACAGCCAGCAGCGTTGCCAGTAGCAAAGCCCGCTGTGTCTGTCAGGGATTCCCATGACAATACTACTCTCAAGTTCAAAAGGTCTATGAGCTCCACTGGAGTCCCCTCCCCCGACAGCACGGGAAAGAAGATGCAACACAGCTCAGTCTCTGAACAAACATGTCATCTTGAGAGAAGTGACCCATCCTGGTACAGGTTACTTGCCCCGAGTGCTTTAGCTTTCGGGCTGGTTTCTGAGAACTTGAAAGGTTGAGTGGCTGACCACGATGGAAGCCACCGAGAGATGTGAATCTACACCTCACTTAGGCGGAGTGCTTCCACATCGGCCTCGGGCGTCTTTCGCACCAGAAGCTGCCCACTCTCCTTTCAAAAAGGCATGAAGGCAGGCACCCATGTGTGCTTTTACCAGTCAGTAGTGTGTTTTTTTCTTTCTTTCTTTTTTTTTCTTTTTTTCGGTGGTTGAACCTAGTAAGATTATATCCCTTATATAAAATACTATATCCCAATAGGAGGATATAATCTTACTCTATATTGGGTACCATAATACCCCCAAATAAAATACTACTCAAGTGTGAGATGCAAGACTTCTTGAAGGACCACCGTGCAATGTTTTGAGGTGCGTTGATCCTTAACCCTAAACCCTACACCGTTAAACCCTGAACCCTAAACCCTAAACCCTTAAACCCTAAACCCTAAACCCCTAAACCCTAAACCCATCCTGCGATCTCGTAGGCGAGTAGGCTGACCATAGGCCTGTCCTGCAGAAAAAATTGCGACTCAGTACTATTAGACTACTAATTTATATTAGGGTTATATAGTATATCACTCCCTATAATGGAGAATCAAATGGAAAAGAAAATGGAAAATGAAATGGAAACTGGAGGAATATAGGGACTTTCTTGGGGTTATATTGGGGTTAATATTGGGATAATGGAAAAGAAAATTGGAAGCTACTATAGTGGGTTATATAGGGGTTATATAGTGTTATATTGGGGTTATATTGGGGTTATATTGGGGGTATATTGGGGGTATATTGGGTTATATTGGGGTTATATTGGGGTTATATTGGGGGTATGTTGGGGGTATGTTGGGGTTATATTGGGGTTATATTGGGGTATATGGGGATAATGGAAAAGAAAATGGAAACTACTATATTATATAGGTCTTATTTTCCATTCTCCCAATATTATAAGTGTTATATGGGGTATATACTGTACAGTAGAAGGTCACTTGAGCTATAGTCTCAACTCCTAGTATCCCCCTTAATAACCCCTATAGTAATCCCCTATAAAATCCCCTTATATAACCCCCTTTAAGGAATTTAGACTATAGCTCACTTGGAGGATGGGAATGGCACAATGTGTTTTGCATCAGATTCCCTCCTAGGAGCAGGCCAAAGGTCAGGCCAGAACAAGGCCTCAGTTCCAGGCAACTGGGTTTGGGGTTTAGGATTTAGGGTTTAGCATTTAAGGTTTAGGATTTAGGGTTTAGGATTTAGGGTTTAGGATTTAGGGTTTAGGGTTTAGGATTTAGGGTTTAGGGTTTAGGATTTAGGGTTTAAGTGTTTAGGGTGTAATTGG